GACTTAAAACGTACTAACGTTATGATATGTAAATTATGTTTAATGAAGTTGATACAAAAATTAGAGATTAGAACAATTATGTTTTTTGAAATCGCTTGAAATTCAATTTTGTTCCCCAGATGCCTACTCCTTTTAAACGTAAATCCCTTTATAAAAACCAGTTTACCGCAACTTAGTGCAACCCACGTTTTTTGTGTGTCACCATTAGACTAGGTCCCATGCAGGCAACAGAAGACATAGGAGTGAATGTCAGAGACAAGAGCCTGCAGAGGAGTCAGGGCCGCCACCAGCATAAGACACCAAACCAGGCAGAACACAGCTCTTGCTGGTTCCTTAAATTTAGGGATTCTGATCTTTGGAGGAGGAGGAGCGAAAATACTTCTTAAAGACCAGGTCAAAAATAGCTGTGTTGGTGACTCTTGCCGTTTGGTTTCAGTGCTGATTTTAACACCTTTAGCAATCTCAGGTTTAAAGCTAAGTTATTCTGGCACTTGGTAGGTTAGAGCCCTAGGGATGATCCTATCACTGGGGGTTATTTCTCACTGAAGTGTAAGAACCTGTATAACTGTAAGCTGTATGTGTGAATTCTGAGCATTTAACCAAATGCCATGAATCTGCTGCGTTAAGTTTTCCTTCCATCCTGAAGATTCTAATAGCTTGTCATGAAAATCCACATTCTAATAGCTGTCATGTCCAGCTGAGTGTGGATTTTTTCTTTGTTGATGCTGGCCCACTTAGGCCCAGGTCCAGTGACTTAATGAGCCGTTGCAGGGAGCATTCACTGGAAATAGAAATGAAACCAACTCCCTTTATTTAACTTGGAAAGGAGTCATACTGCTGGAAAATAATCTTAGACCTCAACTGACCTGGGTTCTGCCACCCTAGAAATGCAGACCCAGGGAAGCAAAGTGATTTGACTAAGGACACTTGTGTAGTTAGGGCAGACTGTGGCCTAGAAGCAAAGTCCCCTGTCTTCCAGTACTAGACCACATTTCCTTCATTTTAATAAGTTTAAAACTGACTTTTATGAACAGTCCCATGTCCAAAACATCCAATTATCCATTTGTCCCATTGTGAGGAGCCTTAACTCCATTTAAAAACCTTCCAAGAGACAGAATATAGATGTCTTTCACTACCCATTCCAGAATTGCACAGCCTTCCCTGCTAGGAATTTTTATGTGCTATTTTCTTTCTCCTATCCCACTCCACAAAGTGCCACTACCTATTACTTTCTTTGAGCAAATAGAGATTTTAATCATTCTCTTTTTCCTTGATTTCAATTCTCTGAAGGCCTGTCTGCTCCATTTGCCACAGATAACATGCAGAAACTTCACTTGCAATGAAAGTCACACTTCTCTTGGTAGCCTGGCATTTCAGCATTTACAGAAGCTAAATATCTCCATCCTCATTAAATTAGGCTCAAATTGGAGAAGAGAATTACATAGTTAAAAACATAGAGGCAAAATGATGGATTCATGTTATACCTTAATGTAACACATCATGACATGCAGTAGGAGCAGTAGACTAATTAGCAAGCAAGTCGTCTGCTTGGGTTCATCATTTCTGCTGTGTATGTAGAAAGGGATGGCAATTTGAAGGATGGCATTTGTCAGACCCCTTCGGATAAAAAGTGTCTGCTTCAGTAACATGACCTGCTTTCATTTAACAGAGATGGCACCCCATCGTCCAGGAACATGGCAAAGACCCAAATGCTACCCCAAAAATACTGTTTCCAAAGTGGCAGTTACGCTTCCAACTTTATTTCTAAAAATTATTGAAATCCATTGCAATTGTGTCTAAATTGGGGTTTTAATATGCTCTAAATAATATATCCTGCTCTTTTCTTGAGAGCTGGCAAATCCTAAGCAATGCCTGTTAGCAGGTTTTTTGGCCTGGGTCTCTCCCACCCCTTTCTGGTCTTGATTCCTTATCAGTCTGATTGGTAAGAGAAAGGAGAGAGGAACAATAAATCTTCCAGTTTCTCCTGATGTGAATGCCCAAGATATTGTCAGAAGCAAAATGTATGAGGAGTGTGGGTCAGCAACTTGGGAGGAAGGGATGGTTTTCTGCTGTGGTAAAGCAGAAAAACCCTGTCATGGAGTTTGGATTAACAGAACCTGCCCGGAGGGGAGCCGTGCTCTTTGTGTGGCTGATTAATGTCACTCCTGTAAAGACAGCACTCCAACAACAGGGCTAGTCACTGAACAGGAGGCTTGGAGAACCCAGAATCTCCTGCCTAGGGGATCAAAACTCAGCTGAGTACCTCTCAACAGGGCTGAAGAGAAGGCTGCAGGCCTCGAACAGAGGTGATACAATTAGATTCCAGCTGTCTGTCCCAGTAAAGGAAACGCAGGCAGCTATTAAAAGCATCTTCCCTTCTGGTCTTGCTGCTGCAGAGAGTGGCAGTGTGCAAATCCAGCCCCTACCTTTCCTCACTCAGCTATTCACAGCACCATGGCTTTCAGAACAGTGTGTCAGAAATTACCTTCTTCCCTAACTCATCTTCAGGCCTGAAGAGAAAAATTTTCCAAGCAGAGATCTTCTGAAATCCCTAAGGGGATCGGACAAAGAGCTTAGGGAGAACAGGACTTTGCATGTTGTTCCTCATGCCTACCTAAAAACGCAGGTCGCACCAGACAAGTCCTTGGTGAATGCAACAGTGGAATGGATTTTGTAGCTCCCAGCACATGCGTTAATGAAAGTCCCTGCATGAATTTCCTGCCTGCTTTTCTTGTTGGCAAGAACAGTGTACCATATGCTGGGGGTGGATGTTAATTCTGTAGGGAATGTGTGTGATTTGAAAACCTGTGTGGTGTATTTATGTCAATCGCTGATGTGTTTCCATAAATGCATTTTTGTGGCTTTGAGAGGCATCCTGAGACCACTGAATCAGTCAAGGCAGCTTCCAGGGCACACAACCTATTCTGACACCCAGACAGGGCTATTGTTTTCCAGGTGCAAGCTTGATCACCTATGCAATCCTCTGTGTATTCACCTCAGGAATTTATGTTGAAGAATTTAATCTTGCAGCCACTCCAGAAGTAGCCAGAAAGCATCCCTAAATGTCTGCTCTGGAGCCTTATTTCAAGGAGGCAGCAAGAGAAGAGGAAAGCCTTCTTATTTTTAATCCCAGCATCAATAAAATCACAGGTTGATGTTTATACATCACAGGGCAGTTGTTTCAGAAAAAAAAAAAGAAAGTAAATGATGAAACTTTGAAAAAAATGGACTCTCTGGAATGGAACCAAGAACAGGCTCTCAGCGTTGACCTTTTGGTTAAAGCCACATAATGCAATTTATGTCATCTCTCCAGATATATGATTTTATTGGTTTGCTGGGAATTTGGGCTTAAGGGAAATTGTATATTGGGAAAGTAAAATGTTTAGGTCTTATTATTGCCAAATGATGTGTTATAATAAGAAAAAAAAATGGATAGGCCCTCCCCTCTAAGAGCTTATATTCTAAGATTCTGTGATTCTCAAAAGACATTTTCAGATGGTTGTCATATCTAAAGACCCCTGACTAATGACTATCTTCATCAAGAGTATTTAGGATCAGAATGGTGCTTGTTCAGCCTACAAAACTGTTACAATTTACTTCTTATAAATCCTGACAACTAAAGTGAACTTGAGGTTTATAAACTGTTTCGAAGTGCTGAGATCTTCTAATGAAAACAGTTAAATCAATATTCAGAACCACAAGTCAGTCCAACCGTTATTCAACAATTCATTGGTTATTGATGGACATTTCTTAGTTTATATGTTTCAGCTTTATTTCATAATAACATAAAATGGTATTTTGGTCACTAAGTAGATTTTCTGAAATCATAGGGCAGGAGAGCACCCTCTGACTAGATCCTCTCCCTTCCTCGATGGAGTGCTCCAGGCTCACTGACGCTTGGATTTCATTTTTCCCTCTATAATCCCTTATGACCTCATTCATTCTCATGGCTTTGTGTAATATCTGTACACCAACGATGCTCAAATTTATAGCTCTAGCTTGGCCCTCTCCTCTGAACTACAGCCTTCTCTATGTAACTTCCTACTTGACATCTGCACTTGAATATCAGGTGCACATCTCATAGTTAATCTGTCCAGAAAAACCTAGTCTTTCTGCAACCCTCCCCATCTCAGCTAATGACAACCCCCTCTTTCCAGTTGCTCAGGCCAAATCCTAAGGGTCATTCTAGAAGCCTCTGTTTCTCTCACATCCTATGTCCTGCCAGCTCCACACACAAAACACTCTCGCCACCTCCAAGTTCAGAATACAACCAGGACCCCCTCATGTCTCACCACCTGGGTACTTAGGACAGATGTAGAACCTGACTCCTTCTCACCACTTCCAACACCATCTGCCTCGTTCAGGCCACCACAGTCACGTACTTGTCTTGCTGTAGGAGGCTGCTGACTGGTCTTCCTCCTTCCTTTCTGGCTGCCCTTCCATCTGTTCATGAGCAGAAGCCAGAGGGATACTGTTAAAATCTACGTCACATCTTATGACTCCCATCTTACAGCCCACCAGTGGCTTCCACCTCACCACCACTACAGCCTCACTATAATGTAAAATCTCAAGAAATTTTGGACTTGTCCATTGCTAGACCCTCCAGCCCCTAGAAAGTGCCTGGTATATTCTAAATAAACCGGCGTTAATGTAATCAGTTGGTTTTGGTTGGTTTCTATTTCTCTTTCTGTGCCACATCTTTTACCCCTGCATCTATTAGCCTCTGAGAGTTTTTCTTAAAGATTTGTGGGGAGCCTGTTGTATGTTAGGACTATCCAACTATTTCTGATATCTGTTTCCAGTATTTTCCCAGTCTCTTTGCCTTTTAATTGCATTTTTCCCCCACAAACTAAAATTTACATTCTTGTAAGAGCACAGCTGTTTCTGTCCTAACTTTTTTTCTTGCTGTGACTCTTCAAAGGTCTGCAAAGCAGTAACATTCCAGGGCAGATCATCTAGCCATGTTCTTTCCCACTCATGTTCCTGTGTCTTTCCCACAGGCATCAACAGGAAAGTAGTGTACTCCCTGGCAGACTCAGCTGGTGGGGTCTTCTCCATTGACAGCTCATCTGGCATCATCATCCTAGAGCAGCCACTGGACCGAGAGCAGCAGTCTTCTTACAACATCAGCGTGCGGGCCACCGACCAGAGTCCCGAACAGTCCCTGTCGTCTCTCACTACTGTCACCATCACCGTCCTGGACATTAATGACAACCCCCCTGTGTTTGAGAGGAGGGACTACCTAGTGACGGTGCCTGAGGACACCTCGCCTGGCACCCAAGTCCTAGCCGTTTTTGCCACCAGCAAAGATATCGGCACAAATGCTGAGATTACTTATCTCATCCGGTCTGGGAATGAACAAGGGAAATTTAAGATCCACCCCAAGACAGGTGGGTAAATAGCACCATACTTAGAATGCAGAGCTTTAGCTGGGCATGGTGGCTCACACCTGTAAACCTCGTACTTTGGGAGGTGACTCAGGAGGATCCAGTGAGTCCAGGAGTTCAGGGCTAGCCTGGACAACAGAGTGAGACCCTGTTTCTACAAAAATTTTGAAAAACATTAGCCAAGCATGGTGGCATGCACCTGTGGTCCCTGCTACTTGGGATGCTGAGGTGGGAGAATTACTTGAGCCCAGCAGTTAGAGGCTGTAGTTAGCCACATTCCTGCCATTGCACTGCAGCCTGGACAACAGAGCAAAACCTTATTTAAAAAAAAAAAAATTCAGGGCTTCACTATATTCTGCTTCTCCTCCTAATACTCTGGCAACCCTTCCTGGTGGACTCTTCTTCCCCCTATCTCCTTCACAGAAGAAACACATCTGGTAGCAGGGCCCACGTGCAGACCCCAGAGTGCCCTCCAGCTTCTAAGCATGCCTCCTGCTAAATTGTAAGCTCCTTGCTGTGGGCTTACTTTGCAAATATCTGATCCCCAGGTTGGCTCCAGGATTTCTAGATGGGAGGGCCTAGGGGCAGCAAAGTGGTTTCTCAATGGGGAAAGGAAATAGTGTTTGCATTCTAACAACGAGAGTTTGTTTCTCTCTCTTTTCTGTTTGATGTTATGGGTTTTTACCTAAGTCATATGTGCACATGTTGGAAAATGCTCCTAGGGATGAGCCTCCATGTACAACTGTCCACACCTGGACTACCCCTCTCTCATCACCTGCCGAGGCAGACATTGATAAGTGATCTGCATGGTGATATGCCGCCTTCTCAATCCAGCACCCCAAGTAGAATCTATCAGTGAGCTGGAACTGGTGCTCTGTTTGAACCCAGTTCACAACACTATCATTTCTCACCACACCCTTTTCCAACTATGGGGGAGTGTGTAGCATCACCTAGGGGAAAAAGGTGCTTCAAAATAAAGCAAAAGAACTAGAGAGAACCATGGGATTTTCTCTTCACCAGTGAGTTAAAAAGTATTAGAGGTGCTTCAGGCAAATAAAGACGGTTCTAGACAACAGGCTTGGATTTTTTTAAAGACTAAACATACTCATCCTGGTATTTTTGGAGAGTGTCTAGATTCCTATTCCAAAGTCCTTTTGTGGATATTCTCACTTATTTCCCAATTCCCCTATGAATAGTCAAGGCAGTTCCCATTTGCAGATAACAAAGATGAGTCTCTCACCTTCCAGCCTTTGAACATAGTTCCCCCGTCACTGAAGGAGTATGCACCTGTTGAGCAAGGTGGCAAAGGAGGTCCATTTTCCTTTGGATAATCCAATAAATATAAACAAGAAATCATCATAATTAGCAATGTGTTTTTATCATGGCAAATATATCAGGCTCTTATTAAGTCAAAACAGAACTTCAGAGTGGTAAATAATTACCGCAGTGTCCACTGTTAATAAATGGTTTATCCAACATCTGAACTGAGATCTTTCTGCCTCTGGAATGCATATTCTAATGTAATATAATACCGCTATACTGTAGGGATTCCAAAAATACAAGAAATATAGCCCTAACCCTTAAGTATTGTATTGGAAGGTGAAAATATTGATGGAGGGATTGCATCACAGCTTCTCCTGGCAGTAACTGTTTATGAAAGTCATCATCTCAAATTTATGAGGATTTCCTTATTTAAATATGTGTTGGCCCTAACCTGTCTAGTTATGGCCACTGTGTTTAAACACCGTGGTGAAATGGCTAAGTGCTATTTAAATTTAGCACTTGTTAGCAAGACTGGGATGCAAAATAAGCACTAGAGGTGGTAAGTGCTAAGATAACTTAATTATGGGGAGAAAGAGGCTCTTGTTACAGGTACGATTTCTGTGTTTTGCCTTAAGTGGAAGGAGCCTATTGGCAGTCTTAACGACTAGAGAAGTTGTCTGTCTGGAAATGTAAATGGGCATGACCTTCTCGCCAGTCCTAATGGTTGTTTACTGGATGGGAGGAAAGTAGATGCCCTTGAGAAGTGTTCTACAGGCAATGCAATGACTAACTGCGGAATGCAGGATTGGGTTACCTCCCAGAAAGGGCTAGGATGGGAGGGATATAGCAGCAACACCCAGCTAGCTGCTTTCACATGTTCTACTTACTTAAGCCATTCTGTGACATGGACATTATCATCTGTAGTTGTGGGCACTAAACTCAATATGTGGCTGCCAGGCTGTCTGGTTTCCAGGTCGTTCCTTTTCTATTATGTCACCACATCTTGAGATTTCTGAGGTCTTTGCCCTCTTTGTGCCGTAATTGTTTGAGGTAAGTGTATTTTAACATGGCAAGGCATCTCTGCGGTTAATTCAATTCAGCGAAGTCTGCAAGTATTTACTTGCTGACAAGAATGGGGTCATACCATCACATCCACACATCTCAGCTCATTCATGGTCTTCCTGTGTCCACCTGAGGAATCAGAAGACACATGTCAGGGATGCTTGTTTCTGTTTCCTACTCGTTAGTTGTGTGAGGGTAAAGATGCCAGAGATTTTCAAGCTGCTGAGAGATGTTCATAAACTGTTACAGAAACATGTAAAGACTTTTCATTTCCTCAGTGTTATGTTTGATGGATAGCTGTGCTTTCACTGACAGCATTAATCAGACTTCTGGAATACTTTCAGTAAGGCATTAAATAAACAAATTCCTAAATATCTAAAATTCTTGGCTGGAGAGGATGTTATAAATATTACCATGATTATAGAATTGCTGACCAGTGTTTTTTCCTATCAAATATAAAGCTCCCCACTTTTCTTCAAAGGTGGTATTTCTGTCTCTGAAGTCCTGGACTATGAATTATGCAAAAGGTTTTACCTGGTAGTGGAAGCCAAAGATGGGGGCACCCCAGCTCTCAGTGCTGTGGCCACGGTCAACATCAACCTCACGGATGTTAATGACAACCCTCCCAAGTTCAGCCAAGATGTCTACAGTGCGGTCATCAGTGAAGATGCCTTGGTGGGAGACTCTGTCATTTTGGTAGGTACCTAGGGTTGGGGATGGTTCTAGATGTCTGGGACTAGCCATCCACAATAAAGTAAAGAGGAAAGCAAAGTCTGTCTTGGATTTTCTTCACACTTCCCCCTTTTGGTCTCCATGTGTCCCCAAGTATAGGAGCCATCTTTCTATGGCTCCTTCTGTAATTTGTATATTAGGATGAGTCTGATAGATTAATTTATATCGAGGTATAAGTGATTGATAATCACTTATTTCCCAGGACCATATCTTTTTTGAGAAAATGAAACAGACCATGGGACTACTTCTTAATGATGGACCCCTACTTAGATGTGAACTTAGATGATAGTTTATTAGGTGGCTAGGAAGAATCCTTTTTTTTTTCTTTTTGGGGGGATCTGTTGCACAGCATGATGAATATAGTTAATAGTGGTATACTGTACATTTCCAAATGGCTAAGAGTAAGTTTCAGATGTTCTTACCACAAAAAATTCTAGATATTTGAGATGATTGATATGTTAATTAGATGATTTAATTATTACACATTGTGTTCATAAATCATAACATCACTTTGTACCCCATAAATATATGCAGCTATGATTTGTCAAATTATGTTTTAAAATTATTAGATTGCTGAAGATAGAATAAAATCCCTGTCCCTCTTCCCCCTACACACACAGACACGCAGAGTTGGGCAGCTACAATGGGGAGCAAATCTAAGACTGACTGGCCACTCTTAAAGGAGCCTTTTCCAGAAGGATGTTTTTTCTAACAGTAAGAACAAGCCATGTATCCTGAGAACTCAGATTCTCATAGACCACAAATTACATTTTGGAACAATGAGTCACCTCCTCACCATCCTTCCCCATCCCTTGGCTGGCAGGTCCCTTTCATCCAAGTCATCTCATCGCAGGATGAGGGTGGAACAGCCCTCTGCTGGAGGACAGTGCATTCCTTACACCTCAGAAGTGCACTCCTCAGGCCCGCTCGCTTTCCTGGAAAGTACATGACTGTTTCCGTACATATAAATTTCAACATCATCAACCTGGAGCAATCGACAGAGGGGCAGTACATTTGCTGTGTGAGAAGGGGAACTTTCTTGGCTTCCTTAACATGGAAATGCATAGGCCTAGAGAATCCCTGACTTAATGGCAGAGACCATTCCTTGCAGGATTGGGAAGAAATCAAAGCATTCCTTTCTGTTAGCTTTGGGTTCTAACCATACTGTCTCAAACCCTGAGAAAAGTCAGTCCTAACAGGCGTCAGGCTGTGTGCAGGTAAAAATTAACACAATTAAAATGGCAGCTGTGGACCTGATGCCACCCTCCTTCAGCTGACCAGTCATCCCTTCTGCTGGGGGCTTGGTCACCAGCGTTAGAGAGCACAGCTCCTGAGAAAACTGTCATAGCTGCACCCATTTAAGCAGACATGGGACTCTAAGAATCAACCTTTGCTCTGTTGTGTCATGTCTTTTCTTTGTTATGCTTGTTTTCCATGAAGCTAATAGCAGAAGATGTAGACAGCCTGCCCAACGGCCAGATCCATTTTTCCATTGTGAACGGAGATCGGGACAATGAATTTACTGTGGATCCTGTCCTGGGACTTGTGAAAGTAAAGAAGAAATTGGACCGGGAACGGGTAAGCTAGTTTAGGACAGTCTCCTGGAATCAGAGGCACAAGCTCCAGGGGTATAAATGGTAAGATTCTCCATTCTAAGTCATGAAAGTAGATAAGGATGGGCTAAAATGCAGCATGAAACATGAGTGTTAGACCTTTGATAGAATTTTCTACCTATAATAGATGCTGGCAATCTCTTAACATACAGAGGTTTTAAAGAAAAAGCACATATTTATCTTTTCAGGTGGTTTGAATTTTAGTCCTGCCTAGAGCAAGGGAACAGAAAAATACTTTCAGGGTTAGGACCCTGTGGTCCTGACTTTATGAACAACTGTAGCCCTCAGTGAGCAGAGACAAAAAGATTACCTGAAGGCATCTAGGTCAGAAAAAATAGTCCAAAAAATTCCTCTGTCCCAGGTTAAATGAAGTTTCTAAACATTGTCTTTTTGACCAAAAATATGCATCTTCGAAGGGAAATTAAATATGGAAAAGGATGGCATGGTAGTGATCAGACAGCTCTACTGGTTGACACATGCTTATGATTCCAGAAATATTAACATTGGTACGTGAGGCAGAGCAGTGGTGACAGCTGTTGCTCTGAGCAAAGGCCCAGAGCCTGGGTCCTAACCAGGGTGATTTTGTACCCCAGGGGACATGTGGCAATGTTTGGGGACATTTGGCAATGTTTGGAGACATTTTTGGCTGTCACAACTAGGCCAGGGTTGTTTCTGCCTGCCACTTGACAAAGGTCAGGGATGCTGCTGCACATCCTAAAATGCACAGGTCAGCCCCCAAAACAAAGAATTATCCAGACCCAAAGGTCAGTGGTGCCAAGAATCACCTGGTCTAGAAAATCAAACTAAATATGGTTGATCTTTAACCACGCCAAGCCTGAAGGTCCGGTTCCTCTGCGTATGCACGGAAGGAAGCAAGCACTACACCTGTTTACTGTCACCCCTTTGTACCTTGGCAGGTGTCTGGATACTCTCTGCTTGTCCAGGCAGTAGATAGTGGCATTCCTGCAATGTCATCAACTGCAACTGTCAACATTGATATTTCTGATGTGAATGACAACAGCCCAGTGTTTACACCTGCCAACTATACTGCTGTGATTCAGGTGAGCAAATCTTGCCTGCCAAACACTTGTCTCTGTATAGTCAACTCTCTTCCTCTGCTGTGGTTTACTCATTGTGGTTTATTGTTACTATTACTTAATGTTGTCTTATGCCTTCATAGGGCAAGTGTGAAAAGAAAGTAGTTTTTCTACCACGCCGATTAATAAATGTGAGTGAGAACTATTAGGGAGTGGATTTTTTTCCAAGTGTCAGGTGCTTTATGAACACTGTCTCTCCCCACAACAGCTCTGTGAAGAGGGACGGCAGATTGGCCCCCACTTTACAACTGGGGGGCTAAGGATTTGTGAGGTTAAGTAGTTCACCCAAGATCACGTAGCTGGTAAGTGGCAGAGTCAGGATTTGAACTTGGGACTGTTTTCTGCAAAAGAATTCCCTTTCCCCAGTGGCAGGCTGCCTTTAAGCAACTTTATGCTATTCTGGCAGATGACAGAGATTGATATACATTATCTCATCAGTCAAAGACAGATTGGGCATCAGGATAGAGCTAGTACTCATTAAAATTAATCTTCCATAAGCTATTCGTTTAACACTTTAAATTCACTTGCTCTTTAAAATCAGACTGCAGGATAGAATAACTGACTGCTGGTGTTCTGCTATCAGAAAGAGTGACTCTTCCTCCCATCTATTTTTTGTTTAGTTAGCACACTGCTAGGTGCTGAGTGTCCTCTACTTCTCAGTATTTCTAGGAGCTGAAAGCCCAGCTTTAGGAGGATCAGGAAATCCAGCCCAGGAATACTGTCAGTGTAGAGGACTTAGAGGAGACAGAGTGATGTGCATGTCTTGGAGGGCCACAAGTATTCTAGAGAATCAGCTCTTGCCTGATACACTTTGGCCTCAGAATCACCCCTAAGGAGTCCCAGGGCTTTGTGGGTGGAAGGTGAAATGTGAGTGGGCCCGGTCTTGAGGGTCCCCTTTGGAATAACATTGAAGAATTTGAGCCTGACCATTCATAGCTGCCCTCCTCAGACCCCAGGGCCCCTGAGCTGTCCAGCAATCAGACTGGGAGGCAGCCTTGAAGCAAGCAGCTGTCTGCTGGTTCCCACCTCTTTGAGAAATCTGATTCCTTCCCTGGTGGCGTTTTGGTTTCCCCTCCTCTCTGATGCTTTTTCCAGCAGCCATGCATTCTCACCACACTCTTGCTTCCCCAGAGTCTACACCTTCCTCCATTTATCTTTCTCTCAGCTCACTCTTCTCCATGACTGCTGCTCACAAGGGTGCTCTCTGCCCTCATAGGCTCTGTTTGCTAACCCCAAAACAAAGTGGGCTTCTACTCAACATTCAGTTTTATGACACGCATCGATCAGCTCGACAGACTATTTTCAAATGCGCTACAGGAGGTCAATAGCGAAAGCATGGAGAGGCTCAGCCCATGAGTGATGGTGGGGCCCCTGTCCGCAGCGCGGGCGTGTCTGTGTTACCTTACACCCTTGTTCTCAGATGGTGACCCTCAGGGCCACGTTGTCTCTCTCCCTCTCCTCCATGCAGGAAGCGGACTTTAGAGAATGAGCAAACAAATCAGTCGGTCTTGTGTTTTGTGTGCTGCTGAGTACATTGTCAATGTGAAACAGTAAATGTATGCCTGGCTATGGTGGTCCCGCAACTGATTCCAGAGGGAGACAGTGTCTAGTTTTTGATGACCAAAAGGACACTTGTGAAAAGGAACAAAATAGAGGTCTCTGCAGTCCTTTCCTCTTTCTTCTTCAAAAGATGTGCCTCCCTTTTCCCAACCTAGAATGACTTTGTTACTCCAACACATGGTTTTCATAAGTCTAATTTAGCACATAAAACTTGACTGGGCCTGCCATCCAAACCATAGTGTATCATCATCTCCATCTCTGCAAACCAAACTCGTTTAATCCTTACGTCCACGATGCCAGGAGGCCTGAGCTGATAAAACTGACTCTGGGCCCAAGCTGTGGTATTGCTAAAATCTGAACAGGGGAAAGGAAACCAGTGCCTGCACTACAGATGATTTAATTTGGCATTTTCAAAGTGAGGATAACCTTTGACCCAAGAAGGAGCTTTGCATTCCTGTACGGGGAAAAAAAGCAGAGAAGTTCTGCAAAATAACACTTACGTAATAGAATCAGGATTTCCAAAAATTCTGACAAAATTAAGGATTCCTTTTCTGTTCATTGTCAAATTGAGGAATGTTTCACCCCAATCCCCTTCCCTAAAGGAACATGGCAAAACTGTGTTCTGGAGAATGAGGTAAACCCCATTTTCCACTGGGAATATGCCTTTGTATATTGACTAGGAAGTTGCCAGGATGTCCCTCCAGAAAATCCAGTGCTGTAACATTGTGTCTTAGTGTAGGGCCTCAGCATAATTGTGTTGCGATATGTGTGTGTGAAGAAGTGTCTCCCCACACCTAATGGGGCTCTTCAGGTCAGCTCGGGCATTGCCAGCTAGGCCAGGGCAAGGTGTGCCCAGCCCCATGCTCAGAACCTGTAAACCCATGCAGCTCCAAGTCCTGTATTCACACCTGTAGAGGATTGTCCCATGGGGTGGTTGTGGGAAGCAGCCAAGATAAGAAACATGACGCTTACAGACACCAACATGTTTTCAGGAGACAAGATAATATCGCAGGAATCCCTTCTGCTGAAAGCCCAGTTTTCTAGCTCAGCACTCTCAGCCTGTAATGATGGGTTTTTTTTTTCAATGTGAAGAAAAGTGTAATTTTATCTTCCTTTTTACTATATATACTCTTTTATGCAGGAAAATAAGCCAGTGGGCACGAGCATCTTGCAGCTGGTGGTGACAGACAGAGACTCCTTTCACAATGGGCCTCCCTTTTCATTCTCTATTTTGTCGGGAAATGAAGAGGAGGAGTTTGTGTTGGACCCTCATGGGATCCTGCGGTCGGCTGTGGTCTTCCAGCACACAGAGTCTCCGGAATACGTGCTGTGTATCCAGGTATGGCACCGCGCTCTGTCTCCATCGCGCATTCTTTCTCATGCTTGTTTCTGTGCCTTTCAGTGGATTTTTTCTTTGCTGAGTAAGTCAACATATTACCATGCAGGAATGTTCCCCTTTTAATCTCAAATTCAATTTCACAGCAATAAAAGCTACCTGTGTGTGTGAAATTGAACAGGAAGGGAGGGAAGCATCATTGTTCAGGAAGGACATTCCTGTAGGATGTGCCCAACAGATGGTCGCTGGGCTTAAATCTGCATTCTAAAAACTCCTGCTGCTTTATACTGTTGTGCACCACATTACCCCACTTGGGGCAGCTACTATTCCCTGTCATAAGGCGATTAGCAGTGGCATGCCTCTTCTTGATAGGCCTTCCTCTGGTGAGGCAGGAGGGGACCAAGGACTTAGCTGGAAGTGACCTTTAGCATGTCAGTTCCTCATGGTCACTGGCCTGTGTGACATGAAATGGGACAAAGAAGCAAAGGTGGCAGGTATGCAGAGTGTGGAGGGAGCAGGAAGCGAGAGGGCCCCCAAAGGTTCCCATGTATGGTTTCTGCAAATACCAAGATTTAGATCCATCAGGGAAGCTGAGTGACTTTTTCTATCCACGGTTGCTTACAGAGGGCAACCTAGACTCATTATTAATGGTGGCAATAATAGCGATAGTAATTATTGGTATTGGTACAGCATTGACTTCTATACATTGTCTCTTGGATCAATTACACCTTACTTTGCTCCGTGAAACCTTCTAAATTAATGACTGCCAGCTCCAAGCACATCAATGAACTCTTCAATTGCCATCCGCTCCTCCAGTATTGTGTAAATAATTTTATATCACAGTGTAGTTCTCAAGGCAAGGAGAGATTTTCAGTGCCTTCTCACAGAAACTAGGACAGTTTGCCTATCCTTTCCAGATATGGAGCAGATTTCACATCTCAGGTTTTAGAATCTTTGTAAAAGGCTCTCTCGCCCTAGTCCCTGAAACCACCATACTGAGTCCTGAAGACTTTTGACTGTCCCCGTGTGCATCAGTCACATTCCCCTTGCCACTGCCTCACTGTATTCTGCACAGCCCCGTCATCATGCTACTGTGGCAGGAGCCTCCTGGGTGCTTCCTCTGGCTTCAGCCTCATTCTCTTTTGACCCAACCCTTCACCCCTCCCATATTAATTATTCCACTTAGATTATGTCATTCCCCTTAATCAGGGACCAGGAAGCTACAGCCCTTGGGCCACATCCTGCCCTCAGCCTGTTTTTAGCAATAAAGTTTCTTGGCACACAGCCTCATTCATTTACATATGCTTCGTGACTCCTTCTATGCATAGGACAGCGTGGCTATGTTGTGATAGAGGATGTATAACCCACAAGCTGAAAATATTTATTGTCTTATCTTTTATAGAAAATGTTTGCTGATCACTGCCCTAAACCAAAACTCTGTTGGTTTCCTAGTGTTTGAAAACTTAGGCCCTACAGGAGCTGGTCTAAATTCAGCCCCAGACACTCAGATTTTGAATTTTAGGACCTTTTGGCAGGCACCACTCTCCAGTCCTTCTCTGGCCACAGGCCCATTCCTCTGTCACCTTATACCCAGCAGTGGCACGATCTTGGCTCACTGCAACCTCCGCTTCCCAGGTTCAAGCAGTTCTCCTGCCTCAGCCTCCTGAGTAGGTGAGACTATAGGCACACGCCACCACACACAGCTAATTTTTGTATTTTTTAGTAAAGACGGGGTTTCACCATGTCGGCCAGGATGGTCTTGATCTCTTGACCTTGTGCTCCGCCTGCCTCGGCCTCCCAAAGTGCTGGGATTACAGGCATGAGCCACCACGCCCGGCCAGTGTCATACCTTTCTTTCTTCTGGCCTCTGACATATGAATGGGCAACCTCTGACCTATAAAGTCTAAACTGATCACTCTCCTTTGATGCACTCCACGGTTTGACTTCAAGTTGAATCTAATTTGCCAAAGTTATCCCCTCTTCCGTGAATATTAATTCGTAGCATCTCTTGTTCACATCATCCATCAAATAAAGCATGTGATGATGGCAGTAATCAACATAACAGGTGGACATGGTAGCTCACACCTGTAATCCCAGTACTTTGGTAGGCCAAGGCAGGGGATTGCTTGTGCTCAGGGGTTCAAGACCAGCCTTGGCAACATAGACCTCATCTCTATAAAAACAAAAACAAAAAGTAGCCTGGTGTAGTGCTGCACACTGCTAGACACAGCTACTCAGGAGGCTGAGGTGGGAGGATCATTTGAGCTCAGGAGGTCAAGGCTACAGTGAGCTGTGATTGTACCCACCACTGCACTCCAGCCTGGGTGGCAGAGAAAGACCCTGTCTCTAAATAAACAAAACAAGTAAACAAAAATCACAATCACATGAACCATCATGTACTAAGTGTGTCTGTGGATTAGCCGTGGGTTTAGTGCTTGGCAATGACTCTCTCTTTTAATCCCCACAGTGCAAGGACCCTGTGAAGTACATGCTACCATTTTACTCATATTAAAAATACAAAAATTGAAGCTTAGAGAAGTAATACACTCAAAGCCAGATGTGTAGTGAGTGACAGAGACAAGATTCAAACTCAGGTCCGTGTGATGCCCAGGCACCTGCTCTTTCACTGCCTTCCACATACAAGGACATCTCTCTCCCCAGATCCCACCTGGTCTGCAGGGTTCACTGCAGCTCCACATGTTCATTACCTGCCCCAAAAACCCAGCCCAAGGGAATCGGCCCTTTTCCTGAAGCCCTGCACCACTGAATACCTCCACCTTGCATGCAATGGGTGTTCAGTAAAGACCTGTTGCCAGAGTGGCTGTTCTGTCAATACTTACACAAGGAAAGAAGAGAAAAAGGTTTTTATCAAGCCACCTAGCTTTTATTTGCAGTGTATATTTTATTTGAAACCTTACCATGATATAAGTCCCATTTGAATTATGCAGAAAGGTGCTATCTGGGTCCAGTCAAAAGGAAATAATCCAGCAGAAAACAAAAATTTCTCCTCCAGTGGAAAGACCACTTTAAGAGGTTTCCCCTGCAGCTGCTGCATCAAACTCAAACAAGACCAGCCTGTTGTGGGCATGTTGAGTCTTGTAGCCCTCTGTCCTCCTGTATTCACCCCAGCTGCCTTTATTATGTTGATACATTTTATTACCGTAACAGTGTACAGATGGGGATGGAAGGCGATAAATCACTCCTCTTACTTAAATGCACATGCTGAGCATTTTTCAGAATAGTGGCAGGGGATGAAGGAAGACGCCAATGTAAAAGGTACAAACGTCTTCTGAGGGTTTTCAAAAAAATTATCATGATTAGTTTCCTTCATTTGTTGCCTTTTCACCTCTTGGCTGTTTTAGGCAAAGGATTCAGGCAAACCGCAGCAAGTTTCTCATACCTACATCCGCGTGCGAGTCATTGAGGAAAGCATCCACAAGCCCACGGCCATTCCCCTGGAAATTTTCATTGTCACCATGGAGGATGACTTTCCTGGTGGGGTCATTGGGAAGATTCATGCCACAGACCAAGACATGTATGACGTGCTTACGTTTGCCCTGAAATCGGAGCAGAAAAGCTTGTTTAAAGTGAACAGTCACGATGGGAAAATCATTGCCCTGGGAGGCCTGGACAGTGGCAAGTATGTCCTGAATGTGTCTGTGAGTGATGGTCGCTTCCAGGTGCCCATTGATGTGGTCGTGCATGTGGAGCAGCTGGTGCATGAGATGCTACAGAACACGGTCACCATCCGCTTTGAGAATGTGTCCCCTGAGGACTTTGTGGGGCTTCACATGCACGGGTTCCGACGCACCTTGCGGAACGCGGTCCTCACCCAGAAGCAGGACAGTCTGCGCATCATCAGCATCCAGCCCGTGGCGGGCACCAACCAGCTAGACATGCTTTTTGCAGTGGAGATGCACAGCAGCGAGTTCTATAAGCCAGCCTACCTGATCCAGAAGCTGTCCAATGCCAGAAGACACTTGGAGAACATCATGCGCATCTCGGCCATCCTGGAGAAGAACTGCTCAGGGCTGGACTGTCAGGAGCAGCATTGCGAGCAAGGCTTGTCACTGGATTCCCATGCTCTCATGACCTACAGCACGGCTCGCATCAGCTTTGTGTGTCCGCGTTTCTACCGGAATGTACGCTGCACCTGCAATGGTGAGTGCTGTTTTGAGTGTTCCCTCCCATCTCCTGAGATTGTAGGCTTACCATTCCAGCATGCCTGCATTCAGTCATTCATTCAACTAAATATTAAGTGATCACTTACTGTGTGCCCCAAACCCATGATAGATGCTAGGGCTACAGGGGGTACAGTCCCATGCAGCTGTGGCTCAGGGAGAAGCACAGAAAAACAGGCAATCCTATGATACATATTGTCAAGAAATGTACAAAGTCCTGTGGAAGACCCGGCCAATGGGGGAGTTTCCCAAAGGGAGTATCCTCTAGGTAGAGAAGAGGATCTAGTAGGCATTAGCGGAGGGAAAGAGGGAGAAAACCTAGGCAAGGGGCATAAGAGGAACCTACACTGGGGATCGAAAGAGCTTTCCTCTGGCTACAAGAAGCCAGAGGAAACATTGAAGCAGGGCTGGGATGTGAAAGAATACTTGAGAGCAGGCCCAGTGATCACACAAGGGCCGTTAGCCAGGATGAAGAATTTAGAAATTATCCCAAGGCAGTGAGAGCCATTGCCTGATGAGAAGTGAAGAAGTGGCAGGATCAGATTTGTCTTTCACAGAGGGTGTGCTGGCTGCAGAGGGGAATGGATTAGAGGAGGCCAGGCAGAGGCAGGGAAACCAGTGAGGAAGCTGTTGCCAAGGGTAAGGGCAGTTCGATTTGCTTCAGTGAGAAAGAGGGGCCAGATGCCCAGGAGCACAGTCAAGGGATGGATTCAGCCCTCAGAGTGACAGGGAAGGAATGGTTCGTGTTTGTTGATGTAACTGGAGCCATTGAACCTTGACCTTTACTGGTCAAAGGCCATAGCTGCACAGAGTCACATGCCCATAGTGATCGATGAGAAGCATTGCTCTCTCTTTTTCCTCTGCCTGACATGTGGAGCCGTAAATTCACTGCCCTCTTCTAAGGAAATTGCAGCCAGTGTTTTTCTAGCCAGTGTGAATATGGTCCAAAGGGACCATGGCCAGAAGGGAGGCATTTGTAAAACATCCTTTAGGTAACTGGGGACAGGCAGAGCCCCTGGCCTCTTCCCTTGTGGAAAGTTCTTGGTTGCAGTTTGGAGAATGAGCTCATCACGGGGAGGCCCTGGGGTCATAACTCCCTCTGAGAGATGCTTTGACAGCCTCCAAGCAGCCCGTCAGTGTGCCCAGCTGCTCTCTGTGGTATCCAGTGAATTGTTTGTGATTTCATCAGGTAGAAGCAGGGATGTCCAGACTTGTTTAATATGTAAATTAGCTGCAAAGTATCTCAAAGCATGCTTGCTAGGTCAAATGCATTTCTGGCAGATGTCACCAACATGCAGAATTTATGAATGCCAGCTGTCTGGGCCTCACCTAGATTTCCTTTGTTGGTAAACTGATTTATACCCCAAAGCTCTGCTAAAGTCTGTATGCGGTGATTTACACCAGGGTTCAAAAGGGGTTTAGGACAGGACAGGGCAGACCCTGAAGGAGAAACTATACCAGCTAATTAATCCTTGTGCTGTGAGAACTCACTTATTTCTGCAAAAAAAAAAAAAAAAAAAAAATCTGTGAAGGCAGCAATGTCCTAGGCACTAAAGTTTCAAAGTAAAAAAGATACAATTCCTGCCCTTAGGAGCTGACAATTGTAAAGTCAGCTTGCAAGCACCTACTTGCTGTAACAGTGCTACAGGAAATGCTAGGGCATAGAAGAGACAGAATCCCTCCTGCGGCCAAAGGAAAGCTGTCTGTGTATCTGTACACAGAGACCACCAATGTGCCTGGTCTTAGGGATGAGCTCATCAAAAAGACTCAGGTGGGGAATGGGGGACAGATTTTGCAGAATTCTTTATAAGGAAGATTTAGACGAGTGGTTTTTGTTGGAGATAGAGGGACTTGCTCTGTTTTATGTAAGACACTGATGTCTTAAATGTAGTATGTTTCAAGGTGATATCTCTGCCTAGGACCCCTGTTCTCTAGTCTCCATAGACCTTTCTACTCCCAGTAAACCTAAAATGCCAGGTTTTGTGAGTCAGACCTACCCATCCCAAGAGGAGGCCTTCTGAGTTTGAAAATCCAGCATTTGCTCAAGAGCTTTGCAGAGTCAGGCCGGGCTCTCAGCCTTTTCTCACCCTCACGTCACTCTTATAATTAAGCTATAAAATGAAATTCTAGATTTTAGTGGTAAAGGAGCTCCAAAGGTCATCTAGCCCAGTCTTGTCTTCAGCAGGTGATATATGATACTCTCCGTTTTATAGATGTGTAGCTTTGTGCCTTGCCTAGGGCCATACAGCTGATGAGAGTAGCATGCTGAATCACACAAGAGTCCTCTTGGGCCGCTACTTTATTATCTGCATCTTAAGAACAGGGACTCTTCCTTTCTAAATGTGAACAATCACCTCAGTGCTATATACTGTATAAGAATACTCAAATACAGTCATGCATGGCATAGCAATGTTTCGTCAACAAGGGTCCATGTATACAGTGGTAGTCCCATAAGATTATAATACTATATTTTTATTATGCCTTTTCTATGCTTAGATTTGTTTAGATACGCAAATACTTACCATTGTGGTACAATTGCAGTGTTTAATATAGTAGCAAGCTATACAGGTCTGTAGCCTAGGAGCCCCAGGCTGTACTGTATAGCCTGGGTGCATAGTAGACTGTGCTATCTAGGTCTGTGCAAGTGCACTCTGATGTTTGCACAATGACGAAACAGGCTAATGATGCAGTTCTCAATATATCCCCATCATTAAGCAATTCGTGACCATAACCCAATTTTCCTATCAGATGGATTGCCAGCCTCACAATACAATCGCAGTAAGGCAGAAGTTCTCTCAGACTCCTGTGTGCATGGGGCTTACTAAATGCCCATTTCTGAGCCCCACACTTAGATATGGACAGTTTGGGTGGAGCGTAGGATTCTACACATGTAGCCCGAGTGACTCTAATGTTGCTGGTCAGGAAATGAAACTTTGAGAAATCACAGAGCAAGATAAAGAGGGAAAAGTTTTTTCCAGGTTTGGGAACAGGCTCTTTGTTGTAATAGCAATAGCTTTCTCACTTCTAGAATCATCTTTCAAGTAAAAATACAGCCATGAATTGTTAAATAAGCATTAGGCATTTTCTCATTTATTGGAAAGGAGAAGTAATTGAATTCAGTAAGTTCCACCCAAACATACACATGCACACATATACACACGCACACGTATACACACGCACACACCATCACACGCAACTAGTATTGTCTGCTCTTCTCTTTACTCTAGGAGGTCAGCAGATTCATTAGATGGACTTTCCCATCTAATGAATTTATTTCCCAAAATAAATTTGGCCTCAATATATCCTCCTTCCAACTTCCAGCTCACCTTTTTCTCATGCAGACTTTTTTTTTTGGTCCAATTATCATCATTAGCATCTTGAACCAAAATGCTGAGTTGTTTTAACAAAATGAAAGGAGACTTGAATTTTAGTGCCAAATAAGCTCATTAGACTCCAGCTACCATCAAGCATCATGTCTGCACCAAACTTCAAGAGATACAAAGGTCAGATGTTGTGAGGTGGCTCCTGGTGAACTTCAGAGGTACAGTGAACATCATCACTTCAGTAAGAAAGCCTGACACCAACTTAAATGAATTGAGGATGATAGATGTCCTTGGGCCTATATAGGGGATATGCAAGAGGAAAGGGTGTCAGGGCACTCTATGGGGTCTTGCTGATTGTCCATTTTTGAAAAATTGTATTTATATATTAGATTTTTAAATGCATCAAAGAGGACACACTTGTCCAGGAGGATGGACTGCCAGTGAGACCGCCAGAGTTTACGACCAGTGTGTTTATGGGTGTGTTGGAAGAAGTGGATGCCTGATTTGTCAAGTCTTTATTCAGATGTGGAATATAGAATGGAACCTAGTGCTCCAAATGAAATGGAGTGTTTGCCATGGGTGAAGCCTTGTGTGGTACAGAAATGAGTCAGACAGCAGCCCTGCCCTCCGCCAGTAGAGGATGGCACTGTCATAGGGTTTGCTCAGAGGGTAAAGAGGAACCACTGGAGGTGCTGCAACCTGAGCAAGGTCTGAAAGGATGCCTAGAATTATCTAGATGACCAGGACAGGGGAATTCCAAACCAAAGGGCCTAAGAGCCAAGGCATGGAGGTGAGAACTGGTGTGCAATTCAGTGCATAGATCAAGGCAGGGACAGACAGAACAGAACATTTATCAAGCCATTACCAGTTCCCGTGCTGTTTTCACATGCATGTAATTGCATTTAACTCTTACTATAACCCTAAAGCGTAGGTCTCCTGAATTTTTTTCTAAAATTAAGGAAACCAAAATCTGACTCACTCAAAATCACAGAGCAAGTAAATGGCAGAGCCAGGATTCATCCTTGACCCTCCTATTCAAAGCACTTTTTTTTTTTTTTTCTTTTTTGAGACGGAGTTTTGCTCTTGTTACCCAGGCTGGAGTGCAATGGCGCAATATCGGCTCACCGCAACTTCCGCCTCCTGGGTTCAGGCAATTCTCCTGCCTCAGCCTCCTGAGTCGCTGGGATTACAGGCACGCACACCATGCCCAGCTAATTTTTTGTATTTTTAGTAGAGACTTTTTAACCACAGCGCCTTACCACCTCTGCAGATTTAAAAGGAACTCTGAAGTTTCCTAATGCAACCTCCCACCCACAACAGACAACCTATTTTTTATATTCTCATCATAGTATTTTGGCCAAGGTTCGAGCACCAGTGCTGGGAGCTCGCAAGGCAGCCCTGAGATGATCTTCTGCCTTATAATACACCAGAACCTCTCACCTTGTCACATCATTCAGATGTATCCCTCAGAGCCACACAGTCCCAATGTGGCTAACCCTGCTTCTACAAGCTGCCCTCTGGATAACAAAGGATAGTGGTTATGACCCTTTGAATCCTCTTTGTAGCCAAACACAAGAAGTTCCTTTGCTCCTTGGCTGTAAACAAATATGTGCTATAAAGAGTTATAGATGGTGTTATTGGGTCACGGAGGAAGCAT